GGAGAAAGAGCATCAATTGGGGTCATCCACAGAACACCAATCAGATGGGCTTTTGGTTCCGTGGAGTGTCGCATCAGATTTAGCAGTGGAGAAAGCGGTGACAGCGCCTGTAAATTAAATCATCATATTTGTTATTCAAGACAAACCAAAGACGTAAAGTCTGTTAAGTATTGGCTTGCAAATTCTTGTGTGACTACTATCATATCAAGCAAAATGACTTGCACATACATCGGTGAATCAAGGAGCAGCAGACATTACTTACCATGGGATCGAGAAGAATCAGATTTTGCATTTGGCCATTTCTTTCACAAAAATTGTAGACATCCGAAATCAGACGCCCGACACTCGCTCGCCATGGCGGGATCCGATTCTCATGCATAGACACATCGACTTTCTGCTGTGGAGCGAAACGAAAAGGCCAGCGTGTTTGACGAAAAAACCACTGCCACTGTGGCTGCATTTTCATGTTGACTTTTTCCACATAATGGAAGTAGTTATACGTAATGTATCCATCGTTGCCCAATTTATACGAATCTGGATCTTCCCTTTCGTATGTTTCTGAAGACCTGAATGACTGCGTGTCTTCAGGAACATTGACCTGATCAAGAGCCGCAACGTCCTCAATTTCAACTTCGGCAGTGTTGCTCTGCACTAGACCAGCACCATCAACATCACATGTCGTATGGTCTTTCGGAAGTGAATCTGCTTCTCCACTAGATTCCAACTTTTCCGCATCCTCCTTCACTTCCACCTCATTAGCGTCTACTTGTTTTAGTGTCTCCGCTCCATTATATTCTGCCATCTCCTTTACGACCACTTCTTCATCTTTCACTTCTTCTTCTTTTTCGTCAACTCTACATTCTATGTCAACGTCACTATCCTCCACTTCAAAACTAGTGTTGAAAAGGAAAGCCATATCATGGCCACTTACACTGTTTTCCGCAGATGTGCTATCAGTCCAACTTCGTTGCCGTCGTCGTCGCTCACAAAACAGTCCACCCAAGATGCCCCAAATACCTCCTCCGTCTACATGAGACCATGGACAAAAGTCGTTGGTCAATATTGGCCTCGTTAACATTTTTTTAGAAAAGAAAAAAGTAAGGTCAAAGAAGGAGGTGGCGCTCGACTGATATGAATAATGATCAAGGTGAATGAAATTGAACCACGGACAGAGACTCGATGATTGTCTCGATTCACGATTGTTTTGCATCGAGTGCAGCACATCGCCGGTGAACAGCGTGTTGTAGAGATCGTGGAATTTCATCCAATAATAATCACCACCGAGGGGCTCGAAGAAGTAGAACACTGAAGGGATCTTGGTATTGGGACTATCAGCCGGAGGCCAAACAAGAATACGCTGGGTCTCAAAATATCCGTCTGTGTATTCGCGTTCAAAGGCCGGAGAATCTTGTGAGTCCTTCTCCGAAGCTACGACAAATCGCATATTTGCAAATGAGAGAACATTCTCGTCGAACACGGCTGCACCACCATCGAATTCTCCATTGCCATTGTCCTGTAGAAGGAAACATGATAGAATCAAATAATGGGAAGACACTTCCCCTACCATGCAGCCACACGACATCATGCACATTCACTGATTTCTGCATTCGACCAATTCCAGATTTGGATAAAAAAAAAGCCATCAGGCAACCCACGTCCCTTACTTTGTACGCAGAGGCATGGACATCAGAGACACCATCATCCTCATCGTCTGATCCTTGTCCGACATCCACACAAACCGCCGGCACCTCGCCATTCTCTTCGTCATCCTCTTCCTCACCAACTGGAAGGCATCCATGGGCCTCCGCCCACTCGCACCATGCCTTGTTCGGTGCATACCGTTCCCCATTCACCGGTAGACCTGCCAACACCCGCATCGTCTTCTTTGCCAACAGGTCTCTGTTTTCCAGGTATGCAAACGAGTTGTTTGCCGAATCAAAATTCGGGTTGTCGATGAGGTAGAGAAGAGATTTCACCACATCCAGAAGACTGTAACAGCTATATATTTAAGCAAGGCTTGATGCAGCCACATGCGTCAATGATATTATAATGTAAAACAGGTCAGCCTTATCAGAATCCACGCATCCCAACATACAATGTGTCAGTTAATATAACACACGTTTTCCTACAAGATTTTCTTATTTGATTTCCTCTTATAGCAATTAAACCCCACATTAACAAGTCGTTACCAACGTCTTGCCAGTTGGTTTCTCACATATATTACCTACCAGATATTTCCTTCGTCATTGCATGCAGAAACCTCTTTGCCGGCACTCGCGTGAACATGTGCTGCACAGTGTTGGTGAGGAAAACAGAGTACTCCTGGTTCAGCAGTCATGCTCAAATAAACAATCAAGACGTACCTAAGCCATTCATTGAGAAGATTTAGACAAATGCCTCCCGAATTATTGTCGATGTTGGGGTGGAAGATTGGTGAGGTGAATGTCACTTCTGGACTATCCCTTGGATAGGACACGGGACACTTTATCTACAATGTGCATTATCAAACAGACGAAGGTTAAGTCTTCACCCAAAACCACAAAACCGTTGACGTGTTTGGTTAGTGTACAAAGGCCATAAACAATTACCGAGTCCTATCATCAGCTATGCAGATACTTGGCATAGTCTTCGAAGACCTTAAAATGGCTGCATTTGTCCAAGCTATTTCAGAGATGTTGTTCGTAATATCTAATCCAAACCACAGAAACCAATCAGGAGGACGTGGACGGCAGACTCAAGTGAAGCCTGATTTCACACAGCCACCCTAAAAGCTTCATTTGCTCTCAAAACATTTGAATTTGATATTTGAATCATCTAATCATTCGCCTGCAACGATACATGGCTGAAGATAAATATTACTAATTCCAATAAACTATTAATTTGAGTGTTTTTGTAGCTGACGTAATAAGCACTTGCCACATTTTGATACACCAAATGCCAGTAGATCTAGGCACTTTGTAGGCTTCTTCAATAATTATCTGACAACCGCTCACTTTCACAGTGAAGGCAGCGTGTGCGTTGTAACCAGATTTGGGATGCAGCGAGATCATCACTGACATTTCATTGACTGAGAGTATGGAAGCTTGACCATCTGTCGATTTCTCAATCGTCCGGTAGAGTTGTTGAATGTCCTTTAAATATGAACGCTGCGTTGTTGAATGCGACATCTGTGAACGAAAACAGTTTAGCTTATCTAGCATGCTGATCAGGCGGGATCATAAACCAGGACGATAGTCTGTCAACCTCTGCCATTCAATTTATTTGCATACGAACATCAAAATTGCTAACCAATTAATTATGAAGAGGATTATAATAACCTTGAATTGCGATTATATATTGAGCAAGATGCAGTAAATGCCAGCCCAACCAAATACAAAATTGACTAATCAAGATCATCTTGCTAACTAAAGCCAGCTTACTATATAAATTCTGGGAGACTAATTAATGTGACATTTTCATTCCCTTTGTCAAAAAATAGCGTCAGCAAATGTTACCAATTAGGTTAACCAGTCGCGGAGCGTATACCTAAAATTTACTGTTCATATAAAACGATATTCCAAGGTAAATGAGAACTCGAACAAAAAAAATGCAGCAAATCAACATCAATTTCATCCTTCCCATTCAAAATTTTAATTTTGATTGGATAGGTCCATATTTTAACTAGTGACAGACACAAGCTCAATATATACTGAAAACGAAAATAGTGCATGACACTTGTGTGGACTAAAAATGACTTTCTGGTAAATAAAATTTTCAACAAATAATAATATGAAAATGCGGCACTAAATCTTGATGAAATACACATTTTTAAAGAAATCACTCAAGTACACATTTTATGACAAAGCAAATCGCGTGTATAAAATGAAAAGCGTAGAAATGGCGTAACACTACAGAACAGTGCATGATGAAAATACCTGTCACACATTCGTCGAGCTTTCAATCAGTACCGAAAATATTTGCAAATGGCGGTGTATTTTCAAGGCTAACAGGAACAAAAAATAAAATATGTATCTGGGTGATTATGTGGATAAATGAATACCTTAATTACAATTTGCCTACAATTCACACTTAATTTGATGATTTTACAATATTATGGCAATGCTAATTTCGAAATCATGAATGTCAAAGATACAGACGAGAGATTTAATGGGCAGCAAATAAATAATCACGTGTGAACAATTTTTGTCTTTATGCTCCAAACGCGAAATTATTATTTTACACCCTTTGTTAGCAATTATTACGTCTATAATGAATTCTGTTTAGATAAGTTTAATGAAAGCATAAATGGAAATCGTTAACACAGTAATTGTAATACTCAGAGAGATTAGTGTGCTATAGGAAAAGATCTTAAATTATTCATTTACTTCACAAAAACCGATGAGGCCTATTAATCCATATTTCAGTATTCATTCATAACCAGCTCAATTTACTTTGACAAAAAAATGTGAGCATTCTTCATGACCCCGTAAAGCCCAAAAATTGCAAATCAAACGTCGCGTTTTTAATAGAGAATATAAATACTGACTCAAGCACTTCTACGTTTCTATCTAGCCTTGAGATAATATTACTTAATTATTTTAGCTTAAACTGTCTACTATATGCTAGGAAGGTTTGATTGTCAGATATCTCCTTATATGCCTCATCATGTAAATTCACTTTGTATTGTCATTTAATTTGGAATTCAGAGCATTTGTGTTCGTATATGTGACCTTTACCATTATGTAAACACATAATGCCTATCAAATATTGTACAGTAAATGATCAAAGTAACAGTTTTCAAAATTTAATACGATGACCGAGTACTATCAATCTGTTCTCCTACTTTCAGCGAATTCTCCATGACAACACCCGTTATTAAAATAAATCTATAATGGTAGATAGACATCCTTAAAGCAGCTATTTGTGTGCCTGGTTTGACTGTCGAAATGTTTCGATAAAACCGTAAGTACCACTAACCACATAAGACAGAAATATGTGGAAGGACATGGCACTCAATAACAAGTACAACAAAGTATGTTCGTTCAATCTAAAAATTATCATTTTGAGAAGCATTGCAACCTCCACTTTAAGCTCATTAGCCAGCATTTCGTTGATCAAAAATCACTGCACATTGCAAAGACCGCCAGACGGTACACAACCTGAAACTTCCCAAATGCACAGTGGGTAGTAATGAACTTGACCGAAAAATATCCAGACATTGTCAATCCAACTTCTCTGCATAATGTCAATACCTTTGTCTTGACTAATAAATTGACCCCTAATGTCTAAAAAGCCACCATTTTCCTAATCAGATATTTAACGGAACTTCCACTTCTGATTGCGATCCCCACAGCACCTGCAGGATGGTCCATCTTGCCTAGAGATCAAATTTATTTTGCTTGGATTAGATGTAAGACTGACGTGTTATCAGATCCCCGTAGAGCAGAGTGGCTTAACAACGGCTCTTTGGTTTGTTTAGCATGGTTGAATCTCCTCTGAACTATGTAATTTTCGTTAATGTAACGCGCTCTATTCGACCTACGAATGCATTCTCGATTTGTTCTTCGTCATTCTCATTTTTTTCAAAAATTTTTAAACCGCACAAAATCGAAAATCTGCAGTAAATTGGTGCGCAAAGGCTAGCAAACTAATTTGTGACACCCAAGAGAAGTTAATTACTTACACTCGTATTTTCATATTGTGACTTTGCTGAGGAATCGAAAGGCAGATTCGATGGCTGTGATTTCAGGCTTTATCACCGCTCTCGCCACTGCTTAATCTGATGCGACACTCTGGGGAACCAAAGGCTCACCTGTCAGACATTCTGTGGATGACCTTACTTGATTCCCTTTCTCCCTCCTACTGCGTCCCTATTCCACGTCATGATGGGAATTCAGAGGAGGAGGAGGAGTAGAAGAAGCACTCCTACCCGCGACTACTTTACCTGCGATTTCTCACTCTGACAGCCTTTCTGTCAAATTGGTTAGCCTGGTTCTCTCGCATCGAGACTTATTCGTCATTGGGCATGTCTCGTTTTTCGCCAGCAGCCGTGTCTGACCCTGTGGCAGGGTTCGTGTTGCAAGCGTACAGTTTTTGTTGCGGTCAATTCCCCTTTATCGATCTGTGGCCGCTTTGGATGGCTCGACGACTGCCACTCCTACCCCTTAATTAACCGCATGTGTGTTGCAGACAAATCTCGCGAATTTGTGTTTGTAGATTTGAAAAAATGTAAGTCTTACAATAAGACTAAAAAATATGGCAATAAAGTAACACAACATGATTTTAACAATCATTAGTGATTAGAAGAACACGCCGCATCACTCACTATGGAATCGAAAAGAAAGAGATTTGGCATTTGGCATGATGGGATCCGATTCTCATACGTGGACGCATAAACATCTTGTAATCGTGTTTGACGGAAGATCCAGTGCCACTGTGGCTTCATTTTCACAATAACTTTGTTTAGTTATAGTTACTTTTACTATTGCCACCAAATCTATCAAGCACTTCGTGTTCCGTGTCGTATAAACTTGAAAATGTGAATGACTGTGTGCTTTCAGGAACACCGGTCTGATTGTGTGCTGCCACTTCTTCAACCTTGGGTCCAGATGTGTTCATTCCTAATTTTATCTTAGTCTAAAACTGATGTTACTTCCTCAAGTATTTGTTATGGAAGAGGAAGGATATGTCGTAGACGGGGGTGGAGCTCATGTGACGGACATAGCGGTCAAGTCTAAATGACCTGAACCAAGGACAAAGACTAGCTGTTTGTCTTGATTCAGGATGGCTTTGCATGGAATGCAACACCGCCAGTGAACAACTTGTTCTGGAGATCATGCAATTCCACCTGCTAGGACTCATCACCATCCAGCTCACAAAAGTAGAACACAGAGATGACTTTGGCATTGGGACTATCAATTGCCATCTCCCTGTAAAGAAAAACACAGGAAATTAACGCATAAGTTGCTACTTAATAGAAGCTGCAGTCCACTAAATGTTTGAAGTGTAGAAGCATTAAGCTTTACTGAATGTGAGGCATGACCAACACCTACTTTGTTGGTACACGTCTCTTATTTACTGACGGTGTCCTCATTGGCCCTTCGTTTACTGATTGACGTGGCAAAATCAAATGATGTGAATAGCCCAAATAGTAGACTTTCACCAACTGTATATTTTTAGCACAATCAAAAACGCCACAGGCCAAAACCGACTTCTACTTTCAACACATTATCACTGGCACTTACTTGCACGGTGCAGAGGTCAATTTCTAGAAGTTTAATATGATTGCTGCAGAGAGTATTGTAACAATATATTAATGATTGACAAAGAGGTTTTCAGCATAAACGCCCACCTATGCTGCCAACTGGATGTACTTGGCATGTTCTAAGACGCCATACGTTTATATCCCCTGACACTCTTAAAACATAGCCACTAATTACTTCACAAGCACTCACTTTCCCGTCGATGGCAGCATAAGCGTTATAACCAGGTTTGGAATAAAGCGGGATCACCATTGGTATTTCATTGACTGCGATTATCTAAGCCCGACCGTCTGTTGATACCTTAGTCATCCAGTAGAGTTGATGAAGGTCCTTCAGGTATGATTGTTAAGTCGTTGAACTCAAAATCTGTGAGTGAAAGCGGCGTGTTTTTCGACAGACTCGAGGACGGAAATTCTGGTGCTTTCATTCTTCCAATGCATCATACTTAAGAAAGACAAAACTTCAAAGATACTTCAGTGGTACTCTGCTAGAATGCAAGTATCCACTCCTGGGATGTTTGTGGAAATGGACCGATTATTCTTGAAGTTCGGCTATATTCTGGGTGTTACATGAACTTAAAGGGCAAGCAACTCCATTTCTATCCAGATGATTTGCCAACGGATGCCTTCCAGTGGTTGAGGAAGATAATTACGACGATGATGGTAATACGGGGCTTGGAAAGTTACATACCTCAGGTGATTTTTGTGAATGGTCTGCAAGAATTGGATGATCAGCACGATGGCATCTCTGGTGCCGCTGCCTCCGCTTACGAGGTACGTGGTGAGGGTCGTCTTGTGGTTATGCTGTGAATTCGGATCTGGAACGGGTTGGATGTGTCCATCTGAGGCTTGTAATTTATCTAGAAAATAAACCCATGTACTATCGAATAAGTAACTAGTTTATAACATTAAATTTATGATTAGTCGTCGAGTCTACTTAAATTCAGTGCTTTAGATTCCTGTGTTTTCTGTAGCTGGAAGATGCTAAGAAAGAAGTTGACGGTGAGGCTGCTGTCTCAAGCGAGAATGTTCTCCCGCTTGCAAATAATTGATTCTCCGTTGTTTCAGAAAACGGTTTACAATTGTCGGTGCCTGACGAAAGCAGATATACAGGCGGATTTTTTGTTTTAGTTTGTATTTGAAGAAACTGTAAACCATCAAAAAATCACATGAAGTAGGATTAGAATAGAGAGTTGTGTGTTGACAATTACGTCAAGCACTAAAAAGAACCATTTTTGTATTTCAGGTGAGATATTTAAAAAAATTTATTCAACAGTTTTTATTGTATGCTGCTGACAACACGAAATCAAAGAAACAAACTATTTGACTGAAGGAACATGTGCAGAACTGACAACCGCACGTAGTTGAAGGTCTACTCTATGTGGAAGACTGTATAGCAAAACATGTTGACTGCTCACGCTCGCCTACAAAATCTTTGGTTTCGTAGACTCATCAGTTACTGTTTCATTAAGTCACTTGTCTCTGAAACAGCAAAAGTAGAGATTAGGTGACGGATTTGGAAGGCCCAGGTAAAACGGCTTATGTGTTGGTGGCTGAGGCAATTAAAGACTACATTGGAATCGAAGTCAAATACATTTATAGGCCGCAATAATACTGCCGTCAAGAGGATGTGGCACTATTGCCAGGCGTCCTGGTTATCCCGCTTTGTTTAATTTATACGCGTCTGCTTAAAAACAAGACGCCCAACACTTGCACCCGGCCTTGCAGAAGATTAGACAATTCAGGAATATTTAAATGGAATAAAAATGTGAGAATTCCATTTAATGCAATTATGAATATTCTGAAGTGAAACCAGGCAATGCTGCTGTCAATAGACTGTAGATCAACCTCACTGGTCAAAAGTTAACTACCGAATTATATCAAGGCTAACAGAATACGATCTAGTAAGTCTGCTCAAAATCGATGCTTCAAGCTTTTAATTTGCAGGTGGTATAGACTTGGCGCATTCTAGAATAGGGTTAAAAATTACTTCTGATATTCGTTTTTCAAGTTTATATCTCGTGAATATTAAAACTGTCATAATTACCATGACCTGGAAAGAGAGCTTCAATTAAGTCCAAGCAGTGAAGACGTAGATAAGCATTGAACGCTTTCACAGTTCCTGGTATTTTCATTAGTATAAATGGTATTTTAACGTGCTAAATATCCTCTTAGAACAATGTAAAAGGATTTTTAAAATAAATTGTACTTGCAGTTAATGACTAAAGTCGACGAATTGCCGCAGAGCCACACCTAAAAAGACAAGAAAAAATTATAGATATTCTCACGTATTCTAAAGTCATTTAGTCATAAATTAATCATAGGGATGTAGACGAAGACCATAAGGCTGCACAAAAAAATTGTGAAACGTTAGGTTTCACAGGTGCTGCATTTGGTTTAACCTCGTTACTTACCAAATACTGCACAAAAAATGCAGGAATATGCGACTAAGTCACTCTTACCATTACATAAAATTAATTCGGACTACTCAGCTAATCCGGTATGTATACAAGTCTAAGTAAAACCTGGTACCGGCGGTTACATTTGAGAAAATCGTTTCGTGATTATTTGTTGTTTTGAGCTATCAGAAAACAAATGGAAATCCAAGTTAAAAAAAAGGTTAACGTATTACTACTAAATTGACTTATAACGATTGCATGTCGATGATACCACCGAAGGGTGTCAGAGGTTCGCAATATGGGAGATCTCACAGATAAAAGAGCAAATTTTAAGATTTTCGAATCGAATGATAATAAAAATATATCACCTAAATTCTGTAAAACACATAAGAATGCGTTGTTATTATTATGTCAATTGAAACTGTGCCATTTCGTGTGCATTTACTTGTAGGAAATATATTTATAATTAACCTACATTTTAACGCAAAAGCTTTCTTGTTTACTGTCAAATATCATATAATTTAGGCATTTTAAATCATGCATGCTGCTTAGTTGTGCAAACTATAACTATTATAAAGCTGCGATGTAAACAAGTTAAAGATTGTTGCTCCGGTTATTGCTTTGTTAGAAAGCAAGAGGGTGGTAATTACAACACACCTCATCACAGCACGTTATAGACTACTATCCTAGAAAAAGAAATTCATAATTATGACGACCACGCTATGCTAATGATATTTCATAATTTTGACATTAACCTCAAGCACATTATCAAGCATAACTTTATTGCCAGCAAACACGCAGTGTAAATTACTCAGTTGGCAATTAACGAACGACTGCATAGGTTACATAACAGCTATTTTATCAAAAGAATCACTCATAAGTTGTCAAGTTTGTGCAGCGTTGAGCACACGTTATCATTCAAAAAATATCCAGGCTTAACCAGTTTAGCATTTTATGGAATCAGCATTTCAATGCTTGTATTCTTAAAAGCACTTAAGCTCATCAAATCAAACATCAAACCTCTTCATTATACTTTTGACACCGAATAGAAATGTGAGAATATTTGTTTAATACTTGAATTCCTAATACACATAAAAAAATATTCGATTCGCACCCTTTAACTAATTAGATTTTTAAAGAAATGCGCAATTTTTCATGTAGGTTGTGCGCGCACAATATGGGAAGTAAAATCTAATGTTTCACATATTGATTGACTGCAAACGAATTAAGGCGTTAAAACATGCTACTAACCGACTACCCTGTTTCTATTCGAATTCATCTGAGACCTAGTTATTAACAGAGAAAGCTACATTGCATGGCATATTCCCTAAAAGAGGTTGAGTGTATTTCCACAGGCTTTGCATACTTGACGGCTTTGTTTATGTTCCAATAGGTCTCAGTCGCTCCTGCACATGGTTCGAAATACTGAGTTCGTTGAGTCAAAATTATCACCAATATTTAAGTTCATTACATTAACAGTAGATGCTGCCGTAGAATATTGGTAACGTATTTACATACCCTTACAATCACTCCGATATATTTATTGTTTCCAATTTTTGGTTCCCGTTAGCCTTGAAAATACACCGCAACTTACAAATAGTCTCGCCGTTAGTTGGAACTTCATCGTACACGAAAAAAATAATTTGTGCCTGCATCCTGCTGGAGTGTGAGATCATTACTTTGTTTCTATTTCCCTTTTATGACACTTGTTTTTTATCATAATTTTTTAGTAGTTGCTTAGAATGGACATTATATACAAATGCCCGCGTCTTCTCATGTTAGTCATTGAACATTTAATTTAACACAGAATAATTTTTGACTCCTTATATTGTCCTACACATAGCCTCTTCAAAATACATTATGGTTGTCATTTTAGAAGTAGAATGTTTTGATTGAAGGATGAATGTGATGTTTTCTTGCTATATGTTTTTTAGTGCAATTTATCACGTAGCTTGGTTTATCGTGGTTTTTTTTATTTATGACTAGCTAATGTATGTAATACTTTCGGCAATTAGTAAAGACACCAGGCGGTATTTACCGAAGTCATGCGTGTACTTAACAACGAGCATGAAAATGTTCTTTATTTGTTATTCAAGATTCTAATAGCAAGTTAGCTTCCGTGAACAGATTAGTGTTTCGGAAAATGAATTAAATGGCTTAATTTGTTCACTTGAGCATCTGAGTGTTTTTTCACTAACAACAATGAATTCATCATTTGTCGTAAGATATCTATATAATCAATCACGTACTATGAGAATGTTAGCGTGCCTTTTTCCTCTAAGGAATTGAGTTGAAGACTTTGATACCTCTGAAATATTCATAAAGTAAAAGCAATGTTTTTATGTTGGATTGGCGTTAGAATTTCTTAAATGAATAAATGTTTTTGTGTTTATTAGGGCCAATATCCCTTGATTTGTGTGATGACAAAGTACCATTTATATATATTTAAATGCATGCCTTAATTGAGGTGTTACTGAACCAATTTGCTTTTAAATATAAGTCTAACATAGCGCTGGTCAACACATTATAAGGATGGTACTGTTGCTCTTATTTCCGCTCCTTTTACATGGTACTCAATCCCTCACGCTGACACCCATTGATGATATTACATCCAACGTCTGCACCCATCTCAAAATCACGTATTAAATCTGAAGGAGATGAGTTTGGCAGCCTCAGAAGAGTGTGGTTTCAGTCGCGGTTGGTTTGCAATTCAATTCTGATAACTTGGTTGCGTAACATGATATGCATCAGTGGCACATTTTATGTGGCAATGCTGGCAAACGTAGGCAGCAACTGCCGTCCTAGCAAAATTTTCACAGTGCTCGCAGACAATTACTCATACACCCACTACCACTTTTGGCTTTGTGATTGTAGAAGATGTGTGGGCGATTCTATTGTAATCTTTTTCTAGCGAAAGCTAAATTCATGATTTGCACACCCCTAGATGTTTTTGACATAAATCAGCTTTGCCCACAAATAGTTAACTTGTAGAAACTGTCATTAAGAATAGCATTGTTCAATTATTTTCGATGTATTTGGTTCAGAAATATAGCGTGAGTAATATGAAAGTACTAGCCTCCTTCTCATTGACTCAGTCTGGACAATGTTTTTGTTCAGAGATGTTGCGGCATTCAGGTGTAAAGTGATTTCAGCAACTTTACCGGATAATTAAGACGCCGACAAGTGTTCGATTTGTCCCTGATTAAAACGTGCTTGCGATTAGTTTGGTTATTTTTATTAGTGATGCTATGACATCGCTAAGAGAAGCCGAATTTTTGACTTTTCAATTAAACACGAAGTATATTCCGCAAGTCAAGTCTTTAGTTAGTAATCTTTAAAGCAATGTTGATGTCTGTAATCAAGGCTAACAATTTATCCTGGTTCATGACCCTAACTGAACAGCATGCAAGATAAAATACTTTGTTTTCACTTGCAGATGACGCGTTCAACAACTCACCGTTCATATTTTAAGGACATTCAGCAACTTTATCGGACGATTGAGACGTCGACAAATGGTCAAGCCTCGATAATCTCTGTCAATGAAATATCGGTGCTAATCTCGCTGCATCCAAAATCTGGTTACAACGCGCACGCTGATTTTATTGTGAAAGTGAGCTCCTGTACATCCATTTTTGTAGATGTCTTAAAATTGG